TGGTCTGGGAGTGTAACGTTTATAAATAATTATATGTTATTAGAAATACACTTTTACGACATGTCTTGAAATAGTTAGCTCTATTCACCTCGAATCTGTACCCCACCAAGATAACGCACATGTTCTCCGTAATAAGAATGAGTTTTCTTATTTGGTATGTTCCCAAGAATAGTACAATCAAATCACGAATGGAAAAACCATGTAGGGAAAAATAAATAAAAATAAAAGAATATATTGATTAACACACATGATTTAAAAGTGGAATGAACGTCTATTCGTATTTAAGGCCAACACCAATATTACCAGATTGTTTTCTAAACTGTTGTTCGTGTTCATTGTATTAATGATTTTAGCATATATGCTGTATAGTCACAGACTTCTAACAAATTAATGATATCTCTAAGCTTTCTGTTTAAGATGAACACATAAACACAAACAAAATATTCCTTTAAGACACGTTAACCGCCGCTTAGATCGCCGGTGACCTACGTTAGGCGAGGATATGCTTTCAACGTTTGTCTGTCGGCAGTCAAAGGCAGAATCAGCATAAAACAATCTGTTGATAATATCAACTTCTACTCATATATATTCAAGTATGGCTCTTCCATACAATGTTTGTGTACGATTGGGCCTGCTCGACTGGAGTGATACTACGACCTCACAGAACACCGACGTGAAAAAACGCGTGTGTTTGTGTGAGTGAGGTTACCTGAGGCCAAATTTTCCCCTTACTGTATATTCCCAATCCCGAATCTCCAACAATCCTCAAATCCCCAAAAGGCCGTTATCGCACTTGTAACACTTCTGGGCGTTCAAGGTGTCTTTTAAACTATCCCTTGGTCTTAAAATTTTCGTGGAAGTCCATTTCACGAAATTCGAAAAATACTATAATTAGCCAAATCGGTGCGGCCGTTATCGAGTTTTATCGACACTAATTAACATAAAATTTATTTTGATTTATATACATTTGTACAATTCAACAATGTTTTAACAGATTATTGTACTTATGAAGAGAGTACCTATGTATGTCTAAATAAGTTCCATCGCGTAATACAATGCCATTAGGTACCATAAGGCAAATGCAATTTAGTTAAATCTATCAATTGTTCTTAGAATGGTCTAAGAACAATTGATAGATTTAACTTATTTAATTAATTTTACCTTTTCTGTCCTTCGATTCTTCTCCGGTTCTTAGTTTTAATATTATATTTATAGGAATATTTTTTATTCAGTTCCCAAATTCCATGTCATAATTTTTTTTCTAAATTGAAAACATTCACAAAGATAAAACGTGTTATACCTGCTGAACAGTAAACATTGCATAACGATACGAAGCTCATATTTTTTCGGAATCATATTTTCTAACACAGAACAGGTTCTGGAGAATAAAACGTTCAATCGTAAACAAATTCCTCTTAAAAACTTGCTAGCACCATTTTGCAACTGTTTACAATTACATAAATCAGCATTTTTATTATGAAAACCTTATAATATTGATGAAATAAAAATGAAACAGAACCATATTGTGTAGCTACTATATACTTCATGTCAACAGTAACAGATGCGTTAAAGCCAAAAAGTAACCTATGTGTTAAGTTATCGTTATAGCTATCGCTACAGATTGACAATAATTATGTTTTCAGCTTTATTCACGTAATAATTTCACGAGAAACTCGACGCGACATTCGCCGCGTCGCGGGTCGCGAAATGCTGTTCATGAATATGAGCCTCTAGCATGGCTTGAAACTAGTCGAGTTCCTCGTCAAATTATTACGTGTATAAACCGAATACATAATAATTGTCAATCTGTTCCGTAGATTTTACATGATGGAGTAAAAACACAAATAGATCGAAACTTGATATTTTAATCAAACACGACAAAACAAACTGAAGTCTTTGTATAAAGCAATAAAGCTGTGTTTACAATATAATACTTGTGATAAAGGAGATGAATACTGACATAATAAGTAACAAACATCAAATCGTTGCAAATCAGTAAGGCGCTTGGAAGACGTCTCCAAGGAAATTGAATTAAAAGCGCCCTCGTCGGCGACTGAAGTTATATCTATATATTTACTTTCAAAGACTTATTTGTTTGTTAACATAATACTACTTCTGCTTTATTAAAAAGAGATTACTAAAATACACTTAAGTTAAAAAGAATAAGAAAAGCAATAACTTAAGCAAGTTTCAAATAATAAAATGAAACAGAGTAGAAAAATGGATTTACGTCATGAACATCTATATTAAATTTGTTGAATCAAGTTTTTCTTTGAACTTACAAAGTTACTAAATTTTTATATGGTAGCTAGATTATAAATATATAGATCTTAATAGCAACTATATCCAATAAAATTTTAAAAGTGTTACTTAAAATATGGCGAGGACTGGCTGTGCACGACAGGGAATGAGCATTAATCACCACGCTTGCACAAAGCGGGTTGGCGATTTAAACTCTAAAAACTTGGAAATTTGAAATCCCGGTTTCCTGACGATGTTTTCCTTCACCGTTTGACACTGGTGGCTAAATAACCAAAGGAAGTACTTGCCAGGTTACTCTTATGAGAGGCGTGCCTTCCTCCGGGCTACAACGACGAAATATAACATATCATTAACTTTTAAAAGCTGGTAACACAACTGCAACTTCTCTTGTGTTGTCAATGATTCGCTCAAAATCATTGCCTATCCCAAAAAGAACCCGAACGTACGGCGCATCGCATTCCGCGCGCGCCACAAAGAGCCATCAGAACACCACAGATGGGGCCCAACAGGGCCGATGCCGATTCGGAGTCGCGGAGAACCTAGCGGGTTACCGGGGCTCCGGCTCGACGTGCAGGAGAAGGAACGGGGTGGTTTTTTGTTAGTAAGAGTCTGACACTCCCTCCCGCCTCACCCAGGCGGGAGCAGTCATTCGATGATTTTCCCCCCTTAAAAAAAATCGCATAAAATAAACTAAGGTTTTGTTTTGAAGGACTAGGTAGAGATGCATGCATATGCAATGTGAACGTAACAACGTAAACGTAATTTTTCCCAAGATACGTAATACGGGGCGAACATATCACCATACACCGAAAATTCACCCAATCTCTGAGTACTACGATTTTATGTAAACCTAAAATACCCATTAAGTAACTATACTTTGCCTTATCCAGGAAATGAACCCAAAATCTCTAATGGCATGGCTGGCAGTTAAGAATCAACTACACAGCAACATGCCAGAGTAAGATATTGAAAGACAAAAAGATATTTAAATTATAATAAATATTTTAATTATAAAATATTTCTGTATTATACATTGATCTATGAATAGTTCATGAACAAGTACTCACATACATATATCCTGTTACATTAATTTTCCTGTGGAGTGGGTAACGAGGCATGAATAAGTCAAGATAAAGAGAAACGTCACACCAGAATGAGCTTTTGTGATAGTCATGCTGAAACCACATGAGGGTCGTATCTAATTTCCCTATGTCCAACGATGTCAGTTATAGATATAACTATGTACACTGTGTATGTATCTTACAAAAATTATAATTGGGACGTTGTCTCAGTCCAAATTATTTTGACTAAGTAATTAAGTAAAATACTATGACATCTATCATCTTTTTAAAATGAGTTATGTATAGTCACAACTTTCCAAATATGGCTATTCATACGTAGTTCAATCACCAATGACCAGATGTAGAGATACAGAGTAAGATATGTATGAATGGTAAGTGGGCAACTTCTTTCTTCAGCTAAGAATATCTATCTATACTAAGGAAATAGGGTGAATAAATGGCGCAGCTCCCTTCTTCGTAATGAATGATAGGGGATGCTCTTTTCGCTAAACAATGGTAATAAATACAGTGACTGAATCGCTTAGCGCCCGTCAGCCAACGGTTACGAGGTTGCAGACTTGTGTTCTGCTACACCTATAGATGAAACTATGCTAGTGTGGGTAGCGACCATATAAACTCACGTACACGTTAGCGGTCATAAATGATTTTTAACTTAACCATTTTCGGCGAATGACAAAATAATCTTTGGTTTAAAAGTTATAAAAAAACCTAGAGACTAGACTTTTCTTATTTACTTGTAGGTATGGATTTCAAATTGTCACTTAACATGTACGTTTTAAATTGTGTTATTAATACACATACATCGGTATTACTATATGTAAAAAGAACCGAATTCATTATTTTTTATTGAAGTAATGTAAGTATGTATATGAGTATTTTTATGAACCTATACTAGGACCAAGAACGTGTTTTACGTCCTATAATCTTTATCTGGTAGATAGTGACTATTCAGCAATATGAAAAAGCCCATACGAAAAGTGTTTTAAATGAAGAGTAACACTAACCAGGATAATAAGGTGATACCTACATGACAAATAAAATCATTTAAGATTTACTTAATTGAAAATATAAAACTTTTATACATTATGAAATACAAATAACGGAGTATGTGTGTAGATAAAAATCTATTATTACTTTCGTACGCCAATAATAAGAAGTCCGAAAAGAAAATAAATGGTAAAAACATATTATCCTATTGGGCTTCATAGATTTGTTAAAATATCACCTATCGCCTCGACGCCTCACTTTTATTACAAAATAATAGTATTCCTCAAATTGTCATTGTATTTGAAATTTCCAATACAAATAATAATAGAATATGTTTTACTATACCTAAAATGTATATTTCAAAAAAAGTAAACATTTATTCAGTATTGGGCAGTAAATTGAGTAAAGTGTTTACATAAGATAAAAATAATATTCAGAAAATAATTTTTGCCCAGTCCCATTTCTCGAAACGACATTTATAAGCTCCAGGATTAAAAACAAATAAAACGTCGCCGAAGTGTGTCCGTGACTTTACGGTGTGAAAAGAGAACATTTTCCAAGTTACTCCGAACACTTGATTCAGCCAATCAAATATACCCACCCTCCGGCGAGTCTCCCGCGCCTCTTCTCTTTATAAGCGAACAGATCCCAAGGAAAGGCGCAGTATGTCCCAGTCGTTGCAGTGATACATCCCCAATTAGTCTTAACTGTAGTAAAAAATCAGTGGTCTAAATACATACATTCACGACTCGTAAACTTGTAAATAAATAATTTTAAATCAGTGCTTTTCAGTATTTAATTGGATTAACTTAATATAAGTTTCAATTTCAGAAATCAATATGAGTGGTTCAGGAAAGGGTCTCTTGGGACTTTGGCTCTATAGGAATGGGTCGGAATGGGAAGTTAAAAATGAAGCCCAACATCACCCCAAACTTGCTGAACTCAACATGGCGGCTCGACAGCAGACCCAGCAATCAGAGAGCGAGAGGATTTCAGTGATATTTACGTTAAGGAATCAAGTCGGTGGACTGGTCAAAGCTCTGACTGTGTTCCAAGACCTTGGCATCAATGTCCTCCATATAGAGTCCCGTAAATCTGTAACTGAAGTTTCCTCTGTAAGTTCTACTTGATGGTATTGTCTACTTTTTTAATACCCCATTTATTTAGTTATAGGGTTCCTTACCGTTCATATTTTGTACTATTTCCACAGTAAATACTTTAAATTTTCAACAATATTGTGATATGAGTACATTAATATACGTTAAATATTAATAAAAAATTAACTCGCAAGCTAAAACGTGTTTATCGCTGAGTTTCCATAATTACCAGTGACCGTCAAGATACTATAGGTATAGTATTTTTCGGTATATTTTCCATAGGAACTTATAGTTTTGACTAATTTTGTTTAGTCGGACATTTTGGTGGATGTCGAGTGTGATCCTCATCGTATGGAGCAATTGAAAAGGATGCTCAAACGGGAAGTTCAAGACTTCGAAGTGGTATCATCTCAAACTGGCGAAGAGTTTCCACCCCCGACACCGTTATCTGCTGCTGCTAGTTTCGGTAATTATTAACATTTCTTTACAATTATGAATAGCTAATATATTTAAAACAAGTAAATAACAGACTTTTGTAAAAAGAAATGTTATATTTAAAAATAATGAACGCGTAACTTGACTCGTGAATATTTTATGGCATATTTTGTCTTTAATATTTACTAGCCATTCATTAGATATTTTTGTTGACTTGTAATTAGAGAACTAAATGAGATTCTTTGAGCCCGAATTTACTTTATAAAATGATTTTATATCCGAGTTTTATTTTTAATTTATGTTGAAATAATGATTTCTTCATTAAAATAGTACTTCATTCAGATTAGGTACTCCTGTGTCTTGATTGAATAAAATCAATAAATACCAATTCATGTAATGGAAGGTTTATTTAAATTTTAAATCAAGGCAAGGATACTGTGATTGAATGACTTTTAATAAATATTCATGGAATACGTAAAAGTTTTTAAATTAAGAGTGAATTAACAGATTTTGGTGAGATGCATTGGTTTCCTCGTAAAATATCTGACCTGGATCGAGCCCAAAACGTCTTGATGTATGGCTCTGAGCTTGATGCTGACCACCCCGGCTTCAAAGATCCAGTTTACCGCAAGCGACGAGAACAATTTGCAGCCATTGCCAACAACTACAAGTAGTAAGTGTTCAAAGTTGTAAGCACAGTTTCAGAAGTGCTTTATCAATGAAGTACGTATACTTTAGTTGAGTTAAATTTATCGTTTATAGTGTAAACTTTTATCGCCGACACTTTATGGCAGTAGAATTCTTGACGCCCAAGTTAGGTGTTGACATCTAATAAAATCAATTCAATGAATTAATGCAGTAGGTAGGATGTACTTACCTTAAGTAATTGGATGACCCATATGGATAAACAGTGTGGACACAACCACCGTATATGGGTCACCGATTCGGTTTCCTAAATAAACTGTTGTTCTGAAGAATTTGCCAAGCTACCTACTGGGTTTTTTTTGTTGAAAGAAAGCTGAATGACCATCCTCTAGAGGGAAACTATGGTAATTTAACTTAATTATAACAGACTAGCAGCCCGTCCCGGCTTCGCACGGAATAGCCAATTATTTATTTTTGGAAATTTGCATTGTTGTAGTGACATAACTACAATAGTTGAACATATGCTACCGCGGAGTTTTTTGTAGACATTATGATGTTCTTCAATATTGTTGTACATTATTTTGTTCTATCGCTAATAGTTCCGGCAGCGCATTCGACGAAAGACACTTCAAGACTCATTTTTCTATACCTTCGGTTACATTGTTCAAATTTTACCAAGGATCCCTAATTTTTTTCAAAATGAAATGTAGCCTATGTCAAATTGGAAGAATGAAGCATTCTATTGGTGAAAGATTTTTTTAAATCGGCCCAGTACTTTTTGTGGCTATTCATTACAAACATACAAAAATAGGTACAAATCTTTCCTCTTTATAATATTAGTATAGAAGTGCATGCAGCATGTTCAAACTTGAATTTTAATATAATTTTACAATAGGTTTTTTTATTTGATTTGATGTCTTTAATTTAATTATTTATTTTACAGTGGTCAACCCATTCCCAAAGTACAATATACGGACGTTGAAATAAAGACGTGGTAAGTGTTTACTAATATATTAATTGTTACAACGCTTTGTTTAAAAGCACGTTTTGTTTAATTTTGTGTGCACTTATATGTATTTTCCTATTAATAAGTAATACTTGTTTATATCAAGCCCAGCGGTGGTTTGCTCTTGCGAGGAAAATGTATCCAAATCAACTTACGAAAAAAATGCGATTTATACTTAATTGTGCTTGCGTAGTTGTAATTGTTTTTACTTTATTTCCTCATCTTTTCTTTTCCAACCAGACTCTTCTGAATATCGTATTTCACCGAATAATAATTCATTTCGACAGACACCACTGGTTCACTACTGGGACCGACGGCTTTTTATACAAATAGCTGTTCACGAAAAATGTAATTGAATATTAATGTGATTGTGATTGAATAAATGACAATGACCAAATTTGTATGGAGCGTGGTGTCTTTTCATTTTTTCGCGGCAGTTAATCGGATGTGGAAAAACTGATGCAGAATAACATTACAAACAAAAAAATAAATGGGGTCTTATATCAAAAACACAGTCCAAACCGAGTTAAATCAGTTCAAAGATGTGAAAATAGTACTACCTCTATATAATGTTCATGGTGACCGTCCACAACGTATATTTTTCTTCACTTACGTGTCAGAAATATTTTGAAATAAATGTTTATAAACGATTTCAAGGAATTTATTAAAGCTTGTTGTGGACTTTTTTACTTATTTTTTGTTTGTTTTCAATTTTTTGTTATAAGGCCAAGGAATCAGAACCATTGATTCAGAATTACAGACCATCAGAGTGAACCATTTATTGGTCACTGCAGAAGTAAATAGAAAAACATTTCGCTTAATTCGCTAGCGTGTTCACTTTATATGTTATGGTTTATGACCTATGGCCGATTTTCATGATCAATTTCCTCTCAGTCGAAAACCTGCAAAATATTTTACTGAGCCCTATCATGAAATGCTATGTTTGTCCGATGCGGCGTCGGTAGCGGATTGAGTAGCGGCAGTCGTCAAAACACGAAAAAATCATTTTTCTGGCTACTTCTCCCGACTTACTCCCGATTAGTAACTAATCCAACTACAGTGAATACACTAATCTGCATTCAGTCACAAAGTGATGGATTATATTCCGACTGATCACATTATATGAAAAACTTATGCGCTCATCTAACGTATAGTCCATCACTTTACAAAGTCGACGGTTTCCTTTTATCAAAAGATTGTGCTAAATATAAAGTAGATGAGACTCCCACCAGGAGTCAACGGCAAAAAAAAATACTTTATTAGATGTTTGGACGGCTACCACTACTCAACCCACCACTGGTACCACAGCTGACACTCATGAAGCTTCATGACACAACTCTTAGAAGCATCTCACAAGTTATCGACTGAGAGAAAATAGCTAATAAAAATTAGTGCCTGGGAATATGTATATATTGTGGTGTGATATGGTATGGCTGTGCCAGGTGTACAATGGCGCGCAATTTGAAGTTAGGAATTGTGACAAAAATATGAATAATTTGAATAAAAAAACCAATGTAAAATTTTTGACTCCAGCTCCTTTCAACCCTCATAACTCAGTCCAGACTGAGATTTCCATATATGAGCCCATAGACAATTTCGTTTGTAATGTCATTCTAGATAATATTTTCCATAAATCATCGACTGCCGCCAGAAAAAAGAAAGGCACCAATTTTAGTCAATGCCCTTTGCAAATTGTATTTCATAAACTAGACTGCTGAAACTTTTTCCATCATAACATAATAGAACCTTATCGATAGATCAACAACTGTCAATTCTTCATTACCGACGCTGTGGTTATAATGTAAGTCATCGCTCTTTGATTGGCGGTCCTACTTGTTACTTGTTGCTCGTATTTGCCTAGGAAAGCCATCTATCAAACTTAATTATGTGTGTCGTCGCCTTCGAAGTTTCGAGAGCGCATCTCATCTAGTTAGAGTGGACATTATTGCTTCCCATGTAGTTGACGAAGTTTGTATTTTCGTTACAGGGGCATCGTGTTCCGTGAACTTCATAAACTTTACCAGAAGCACGCATGCGAGGAGTATCTCGAGAACTGGCCCCAACTCGTCAAGTATTGTGGCTATCGGGAAGATAATTTGCCTCAGGTAACTTTAGTTTGAACGAAGATTGGATGGAAAACTATATCGCATGAGTCTATTTTATAATAACCGTCACAAAACATCATGCGATACTAATGTTAACAATGCTCTAAATAACTTTTTATATCAGAAATAAATAATGATCAGATTTACTTTTATTAACCTTGTCAATAAATTATTACACCATCTCAATTCCAACGTTATTATTGCATCGATATTAAATAAAACATACATAAACATCAGTTTTGTATAGGTCATAACGTTGAACCTTTTGGCGTAGAGCCAATTGTCAAATACGATGAAGGCTTCTATACTGAAATTGTGATTTATTTTCAGTTGGAGGACGTAAGCGCTTTCCTCAAACGTAAAACTGGATTTCAACTGCGGCCCGTTGCGGGTTACCTTTCACCTAGGGACTTTTTATCGGGTTTGGCGTTCAGGGTGTTTCACTGCACACAGTATATTCGTCACTCGTCGGATCCCTTTTATACCCCTGAACCGTAAGTATTGCCCTTCATAAAGCCACTTTCAGTTTTTGATCCGTTAACATAATGAAGTAACAGGCCACGGCAGTCTCAGATGTTCGCAAAATAAAATTCAGTCATTCAGTTTATCTGTTTTGTTGTTGCAGTGATTGCTGCCACGAGCTATTAGGACATATGCCTTTGCTTGCCAACCCTAGCTTTGCGCAATTTTCACAAGAACTGGGGCTCGCATCCCTCGGCGCTTCCGACGAAGACATCGACAAATTGGCGACGGTAATCATACGTCTGTTGTGTAACCAACCGAACATCATATATATATTAATTTTATTTATTGTACCTGTTATGAACAAAACGTTTTTATTCACTTTCTGTTTTCCATCGAACAGATGGGTACTGATAAAATTTTCAAATGAGAGTCTATTCTGATATGTACTGCGTAATATAAATAAACACCTCAACCGACATTTTACAGTTGTGACTGTATTAGCGACGTAAATGTTGCGTTGAATTATTTTGTTACTCGAAATCAGGAAGTATAAAGATATCTTTAGATTCGTTCCATTAGAAACATTTATGAAAACAATGGTACCACGGCGTCTGTATAATTAATTATAATACAAATATTTGATTTCTAAATTCCTAGTTCTAGACTCAAAGTCTACAATAGTTTCTTACTAGAAATTTAAGTTAACTTTTCAAGACATTCTTCATTCGTGATAACATTTTTCAGCTGTACTTCTTCACGGTCGAGTTTGGTTTGTGTCGGCAAACTGACGGAACCTTCAGAGTCTATGGAGCTGGTCTGCTGTCGTCTGTGGCCGAACTCCAACATGCTCTGGTTACTCCTGACAAAATCAAGCGCTTCGATCCTGAAGTGACCGTCAACGAGGAATGTATTATTACGTCTTATCAAAATGCGTATTACTACACTGACTCATTTGAAGAGGCGAAGGAAAAAATGAGGCAAGTATACAAAACTCATCATATTATATTCCTCTCTAAATTTCTATACTCTGGTGATTTATATAAATCGATTTACTTTTATTTTACTTACGTAGTAAAATAAAACAACATTCTTTATGAACCTAATGATAGTATATAAATGAATACATTTTGCAGCAACAGAAGTTATCGAGAAAAACATGTTGATAGAATAATATACAAAATAAAGCAATAAAGTTCATTTAGCACTTTAGCACGTTTTACAATGGTTTCAAAATAACGTAACAAATGTATAGTGAAAATTACATTTTTAAATTTAGTATGTACATAATCTAAAAGCTTTCGAAATGTAGGTAAAAGGAAACTAACAATGTTACTTGAAAACTAATATTGTACCTATGCCAAAACGCTCGAGGCCGTCCGGTAGCAACTTTTGAAACAACGTCTTCTCTCGGTCTTACAGCATCATTCATTGATGAGCAAACATTGTATCTACCTGGTAAAACTTTTGTAATTATAATGAAAACTTATACTTCAGACGTTGAACTTGTTTTTATTCCACAGAGCTTTTGCTGACAGCATACAACGACCCTTCGGCGTGCGATACAATCCATACACTCAAAGCGTGGAAGTGCTCAGTAATGCTCAGAAGATTACTGCCTTGGTTAGAGAGCTGCGGGGCGACATTTGCATCGTATCTTCAGCGATTAAGAAAATTTCTGCTCAGGACTCTACGCTAGATGTTGAAACAATTGCTAACATGCTCCACACGGGGCTCCAGGTATGTTAGAATTTATTAAGGAATCTTCCATCTATAGATCAGCTTTTAGTAATATAAATGGCAATCAACCAATGCACTCCGAAACCATAGTCTATACAAATACCTAAGATCTAAATACATAATTTAGAAGACTCAAATTTTCCTTAGCAAGAAAGTTTAAGCTTCACTGTTTTTAAATACTGAAGAAAAATACCTGCTTAATCCTTTAATGGCACAAAAAGGTACATAATAGAAGTCAGCATTTTGAGTAATCCAGCGGCCAGTATTATCTAAATTGACACTTTGTTTAATTTCAACGAACTATGAAGCTAACAGTTCTACAAAGTAATAATAAAATCATAAATAGTGAGTGTTAGAACGCCTCAAGTGGGTTATGCTTTACAAAATCGATTGCATCATAAAACTTATATTTGTGCGTGACTACGTATCGTTGCTCCGTGCTTACTTTTTATACAACCTTCATTTATATTATAATTATAATGGAATTTTCTTATAACTAGCTGAAGGACTAAAAGAAATAAACAATAAATACATTCCTTGAAGACAGATTCTACTAGATTGTATTTCTATATACGACAGTAGAGATATACGTTTTTAATCACAGAGAAGAAACTGTCTTATCTTCGCGGATGGAGAATTTCACAGGTTTTTCTTGTTCTAGGATCATTTTTGTAATAGTGTGTGGTTTTTTTGACAATCTAGGTATTAAATATTCAAACGTATTATGGAAACGTAGATGTTTTATAAGATCCACCCATTAAATTTACGATCATATTCTGTTATTTATTGTATTTCAGTCGTAATTATAGCCATTAAACTGCTGTTAACAGTACTATACATTGACTATGTAGTTTTAAAATATTCAGCTCATGCGTAATTGAAGTTTAATTACTTTACTTCGCTCCACGCCAAATGAAGACCTCTTTCACGCAAATAATATCAATTATAGGTGTTGCTATTATTATATGTTGGTTAATTAAAAATCATGTTTATGCTCACAAATATAATTTGTAATAATATGTTTTTTTATATATAGAAATTATTTGTCAAATATTAGTCCCAATGTACAAAATGTACTATTTGCAATTCGGTGCCGTTATTCATAGTTCTTCTCTTTAAAAGTAACTTAATCGCATTCGTTTCAAGTAGGTGCCCATTTGGTGTTCGTCCAGAGTTGTAAAAATTTGGCAAATTGCGTTTGATCTAGATCAAAGGTGGCAAGGATGATGAATTTTTTAGATATTTATCAAAGCATTATGTTCCCCTTGTGTGTTACCAGACAACAGATGTGAGATTTATGTAATTAAAACGCTGGATACATTTTTACGGCATATGCTGGTTATTTATACATTATATATACCTAACTGGACGATACTGGGCGATCTGGATTAATGTCCAGTATTCGGGAATGGGCTCTTTCCTGCTCAATTTTATATTGTCACGACACCTTCTAATACCAGAATACAGGTAAAGTTTTGGTTTATTAACTTAGACTCCATCATAATTTGATGTCTTCTGCTTGTGGAAGATGTACAACCATGATCACACGTCTACCTAATCGACTGAAGAGTAACCATCACTCCTCGTAATGAAAATATTCAATGATTTATGCAGTAGGTACGTTAAATTTATCTCTGTTGAATGAACAATAAAGAAATGTAACTCAAACGTTTAATCGCGTATAACTCAATCAGTCAGCGATGAATGGCTGGCACTCGATGTATCCATCTCGTGCTCATAAACTTTAATGGCAATTTAAGTGGTATTTTCTATTTATGCCGCCGAAAAGTAATCGTACATTATATGGCGCCGGGCCACAACGGCAAGTCACAAGAATTTGAATGAATCACTAACCCCCAGACATAAGCGAGGTAGAATGAGTCGCAACATTTTGCAACGGATTTCCGTTTCATGTGACCCGTTTTGTGGCGCCGACCTTTTTTGTTCTTGTTAAACCCATTTTGTAACAACGACAAGTCACTAACTACAACAGTTTTACTCTGTTAATTGTTAGCCTTTGAGTTTGGTTACGGTGGGCTCACATTTTGTCGTAACTTAATAATTTACTTAATATATTACGTCAAAATGACAAACGATCAGTAGCATTACAAATGTTCACCCACTATCTATCCTCCACGAAGAAATATACCATGACATGATCAAAATAAAACTATCAATACTTGTCATTGTTGTATCTTTATCTAGTCATAAAATATTCAGTGGCACAAATGGTATGAAAGTCAAGATGTCAATGTAAATGACATGACACTATCCACTAAAGTGAAATCCAAAAAATAGAATAATTAGTAACACTATCTTTGAAGCAGTTTATGAATTAATAAATATTACCTCGACAGTAACATGTTATGCACCTGCATATTCACCTGAATATTAAAAGAAAATCGTAAGATTAATAAAATTATTTGTAACAAAATAATATATTTAACAGAAACTGTATAAACCTTAATTTCAGTTTATTTACAACATATATTTGTAAATGACCAAGAGAATTTAATACCAATAAAACAGTTGATGCTTTGGTTAGATCAGTAACGAATATAGTGACTCAATGATTTTATGTATTTTACATTGAATGGTTTTATAATCATTTTATTTACTAGACAAGTCAGGTTGGTATGTTTATTTTATATTTACAGAAATTGTTTAGTAAAGCTTACCGAGTTTATGTCGTACATTTTCTTCAGTGTGAAAGCTATTTGGGTGTGTCTGTAGTTACCTAAATATTAGTCGCAATGACGTCAGCTTTGTGCTACGTCATTAGACGTTATTTTTATGTGGGTGAGTGATGATTATGTTTGTTTAGGTCCAGGAGCGGAGTCCTCAGAGCACGTCAGGCGGAAGCACGCCAACCTCAGAACGCGGCGCCTCTCCACGACATGAGCCAAAGAAACCCGAACAGTCTGACGTTTGAAGAAATGATTCATCTCTTTCCATAACTTCGATCGCTAATGCTAGGTCACGCTTCTAAATCAGGTCACTCCGACCAGCTTACTTCATGATATTAATATAACAATATTATCTACTTCCACGGTGTACTTGTAGGATGTTGTATCGTGTAATTAACTCGTAGGCGGACGTATCTATACTTAGCTCTACGTACCTAAAGGTATTTCATAGTTTACTGTTACTAACATTCATAGTTTACGTCAGAGTTGTCTGTAACACTATGCTTGTGTTTGTCTAAATACGTTAGTAAATAGTTCATTATTTGCTTTGTGCGTGTATCACAAATAAAGTTATAGTAGCAAATGTACCCGTCGTTGTTTTATTTGTATTTAAACTCAACATTCCTGATTTTTCTAAAAAACATTTTTAAATAATGTAGATACCAAATGTAACGACCAAGTCACTTGCTAAACCTTCTTTTCTATTGCTGAGTTGTGATCGTTGTTCATAATCCCAACATATTATATGAAAATACAAATAATATAGGAATGCACACTGGTCCGTTTTGACAGATTAGTATCAAATCCACTTATTTAAAAAATATGGGATTTATACTTATCATTACTTCAGTTTGATCACTTGTTTTAAAATAGTAGAATGAAATAATAAAATGTAAATAATGAATGTGGAAGTATCATCGCAGCATCAATGCTGTCGAAATCAAACGATCAGAAACTATCAGTCAACACTTGCACATAACTGAGCGGTTGAGACTATAGTTCCAGTTTGGCAAGGCGCCAGAATATAAAACCATTAATTTTTTAAAACAAAGTGATGCAACTGTTTAAAAATGAGGTCGTATCCAGAACTCGAATGATTTAAGATGTGGACAAAAATTAAGATAAAAGTTATGGAGCTACAAATAATTTATGTGTCTATCAAAATGTACGGCACACATCGTGAAATTAGTTAATATCAAAGTATAACGAAATGGCAAATAAAATTATGTATCGCCATAATTATGTTGCGATTAAAATGCGGAACGTAATATCTGGTATTACTCTAGTCCTTGGCAATGCTTCTTGAATTTAATTATAGCTACTTACGTATCTGTCAAAATCATATGAAAGTTGGCAAGTGAACGACAAGAGTGGTTTTAAAATTAGCTTATAACATTGAAATTTTGGATGTCACGTGTTTAGTTAATCTGCTTTCATCCGGTTATGACCAAAATTTAAAAAAATATATTCCGATGTATTCCACAATTTTGTAGCATTCTTGACATGATTTGCAAAAATCTCACATATAACTAGGTCGAGAGACGACGGTATGATATAAATTTAAATTCAAATTTAAAATATTAACAATATTTTTCTTCTGCATTTTAATTATAGGTACGTTAGAGCTGCATTGAGAGTTAGTCACGGAAAACTTTAGCTGGGTTTATCCCAACGATGTTTTATGAGTAGGAGAATTACCTGTTTATTATTCATTTATTTAGGTCATGAAAATGGATGTGAAAAGCGTTTTTCTCTTAAAATAATTACGTCAAATCGATATACCAATTGATGATTATATCAAATTCTTAAAAAATATTATATGACGCTAATAATTAACAAAGGTGCGCAGTGAGTGAATAGTATCGTTGGCGACTGAAGACTTTGTCTACCTTCCTTAGGTGGGGAGTGGGAACAAAATCGTAGCCAATGTCATATAAATAGTGGTTACGTTACGCGGAAAAGTTAACTCCACGTTTATTTGCCTTAAAAATGGTTATTTATTATGATTAAAAGTAAATAAAATTTGAAAAGTAAGTATTACAATTTAAACATAATAAGTAGGTACACTTTATGATGAGGTACTTTTCAAAAATATTTTACTTACTTTACTTCTAATGTTATCTTAAAATCCATTTAAAAAACAAGATAAATTACTGTACTTTGATTAGTAATCATATGACGAGTATATTAGACAAATTAATTTTCCCTGGAAATAAGAGCCACAAATAGGTCAGTAGAACACAGCCGTGGCGCAAGGATGGGCGTTATCTTTGTCACTTGACTGAAGCCGAAACTAACTTCTAAATCAATAAGGATAACATGAATTTAGAATCTGTTAGGATTTTCGGAGTCGCGTGAAAGTTGTAAACAAACGAAGCGGCCGCTCATAGAATTGTGGAGGAGTAGGATGCCAGCTTCCAGCAAGCAGGCCCACGGCCGCAGTCGCGCTCAGACTCCGTCGCGTCGCCACGCCACCCGCCGTCGTCGCTTGCTTGCTTACTCGCAAATCGATATTACCGTATTTACTGTACCGTCGCACATGCACGCTTTTTAATTACACATAACATTACGAATGTCAAAAAGTCTCTTACTGTGCTTTTGCAATAGGTATACAGTTATAGTAAAGTTTTTCGTCTCAAGCCGTTTATTGTCTTCGTGACAGCTTTCAGACAAAAAGTAAACAATAGACGCTGAAACATACGAAAGCGTGTATCAGCTGATTTTGTGTGAACAGCTGATCATTCTTACGAAGAATGCAAGAAACTGCGGATCTCACTTTTTTTTAAAACAAACTTGGTATACGGAGTTTGGATCTATTTAAAAAATATCTGTGTAGTAAATAGGTAAAGATAGCGTATTTTGATACCGTCACTGATTCGATGAAGTCTTCCAGAGCAGCGTGGCGGCGGGAATGTTTTATGGTGAAACGAATGATGTTGTAAATATAACGCGAAGGCGACTAAATGGCGTGTGCGCATGGTCTTCTCGTCGTTAATAGATCTTGTGATATATGCTCACGATTTGAGTGTATAAACGCGCGGATAAACGAAGGCCGCGACTTGCGTGGACGTATCGTCGCACCGGGGAAGTTGGCACGGTGCGCGCGCGCGGCGCGTCGCGCTGCGTGACGTGGCGCGCGGGCCCTGACTCGCGTCTAGCGTCTGTCAGTACAACCTTGCTCGCGCTGAGGACATGTCCGTGTTATGGATTACCAATGCATCGTCGTGTACACCGTCATCAACATCGCGCCGCCGCGGCTCACCGCACAGGCAACACAACTGTCGGACGGCTGTATCACCTGGTTCAAAAATAAGATCAAGAGGTCAGTAATTTAAAATCATAATATATTGGTAACAAATTAATTATGACGTAAATGCAACAGGAGGCGATGAAACTGTAACACAAAACACACAACTTTACAGGCCGGAAGTTGTCAACAATAGTTTGTTGATGACTAACATTTTATTAGTATACAAACCATTAGCCCTGGATTGGTAAAGGTATCTTTGTCGACATTTTAGATTTCTTCTTAATTGAATGTTTATTTCATTTCAGCTCATTGTAAAATAAAATAACTAATTCAACAAATGGCCATTATCTTCATTAATTATTTAATTAAAAGGAAAATAGAAGAGAATGTCATTGAATAAACAATAACAATTAATAAATAACAAAAACATTCGTTTAACGCCATCAAAGTATTTTAATAAAATGTTTGTGAAGTTTCTCCTGAACTTTTAGAATGTAACTGAACTTTTCGGGAATGGTTTCATCGCCAAAACTATTTTAAATAAATGTTAGAGAGACAATCGTAATATTAAAATATACAATTAAATAATTATGAGGCCTTCAAAAGGAAACTTTATGAGGTAAAGTAGGTCAATAGTGACCTAGAGCGGTTTATTGTGTCACCTCTAAACACGCTACCCGATGGCCAGGAGTTAAAAAAAATTCTTTCGTCATATCAAAGCACCTGTTATTGGCCTTAACCCATCTTTGCGATGTCGACAAAAGCGTCGGCGGTCGTTGTTCCTGAACTACTTTTCATATTAACGCATTCCTCTAATTTGAACATAAATATTTAGTATAGTTTTCTGAACATGATTTCTAATCTTTACACAAGCTTAGAAGATTACCGTCGCGAATACCCAAATCGTGTTATGTGTATAAAATCTACCCTCATTATAATATTTCTACACGAAACATAACATAATATCACGCCTTTTTACCCCCGTAAGGGTTGGCAGAGGTGCATATTATGGCATTTAATGCCATTGTACTTACAACGCCACACCCACTCTTCACTGTTTATGTTATGAGTCCCATGTAATAGGGAGTGAGCCTACTGCCACATACCGGGCACAACTCCAGACTCCGTGCTACTACTGAGAATTAAAAAAAACCCTGTAATACTTTGCTCGACCTGGGAATTATGAGGTCTTGCCCGGCAGTCGCACTTGCCACTACTCGGTCAACGAGGCAGTCATATTTTTTCAGCCAGTAAAATAATAATAATAAAGATGATGCAGAAAGCAGTACTTCTGGACACGGCGCGTATTGTCCGGAAATTCCTTTCTCTGGAGCCCTGACCACCGGTAGCTTGGATTTCTCCCGTTACCGGTGGGCTACTGCTTTTTATATTTCTAAATGTTTTTTTTACATATAATGAAATATTTAAATCATATCATTAAAATAAATAAAGGGAATAATAATAATAATTCTTTATTCATATACCAACATCTAAATTTTTACTATAACTGATTAATTCAACGTATACCTAATGTAAAAAAGCAAGCAGAGTTGTCAAGATACCAATATATTTACACGAACACAATAAAAGTTACAAACACAATAAAAATTGTCAGCATCAGGAATGTAACTCGCCATCTGTTCGTTTCAGAGCGATAGCAGTATATCTTCAATCACTGAAGTTGACACCGAACAGCGGAGTGATACACGGAAATTTGGCATGCTTGTACTATAAACAGGGATTTATAGATCTAGCTATAGAAACGTACCGGCGAGCCATAGAACTTCAGCCCAATTTTCCTGATGCCTACTGCAATCTTGCTAATGCTCTCAAAGAAAAGGGCCTTGTCTACGAGGCGGAGGAATGCTACAACAATGCCCTGCGACTTTGCCCATCTCATGTTGACACTCTTAACAATCTCGGTAACGTAAAACGAGAACAAGGAAAAATAGATGAAGCCACCCGACTTTATATGAAGGCTTTAGAAGTATTTCCTAATTTTGCAGCTACTCACAGTAATTTGGCGTCTCTTTTACAACATCAAGGTATGTATATGTATATGTGATATTATACTTATGGCGTAACATAAATCATACTGTTTTTTCTAAAACGCTAAACAGATACACATTTCTAGAACATTTTTCAGCAGTCACGTTGTTATTGATCTCAGTAAAATAGTGAATAAGTAACTTTTTACTATTACGTAAAAAGTTAAACTAGCGATAATAGTTATATTGCCAAGAATTTAAACAATTGAACTGTCATTGAACTTACCCATATCATGTCCCTACTCGTAGCCGCTTAGTGTGGTAGTCGACTTTCGA